GGGACGTGCGTCAGGGACCGGATTTCGACTTCCCAGGCGCAGCAGGGTGTATTTGTTCGAATTGAAAGACAGCAGCCATCTATGCGGCCAACCGTTTAATTGACAAAAAGTTTGCTGGAAGTTATCTTCATCGGCAGCACGCTTGATTACCTTCCATATTTTTACATCATCTGCAACCATGGCAAACTCGCAGTCCAAATCCTATGCACAGTCATTAACAAACAAGAGAAAAGGGGTGGGTCTGAGTACTAGACCTTGAGGCATTCCGCTGTCGATGACTGTCGGCCTTGATTTTTATCGACCTAAACACATAGTTTGGGAAATACCAGCGAGGAAATTCTCAATCCACGTAAGAAATCTGCCTCCGATACCCATCAGTCTGAACTTGTGACGGAGACGTTGGTGTAGAACACTGTCTAAGGCCTTCTGGAAATAAATGTAGGCCACATGTACGGCTTTGTTTGCCTCAATTGCTCTTGTACAGCTTCACATCGTGCAAAGCAAGTTTGTTACACATGACCTACCCATACGAAAGCCATATTGTGCATAAGACAAAATATTGTGAGTTTCACAATAAATCATCAAGTCCTTCTTGATGATCTTCTCCATAACTTTGCAGCACATGGAGGTCAGACTCACGGGTCTGTAGTTGTTCGTAGATGCACGACTACCGCTTTTGTAAAGCGGTGTGACATGCGTCTAATTTCCAGTCCGGAGGAAGTATTCCAGTATCAAACGATTTCTGGCACATCATGGAAAGCGGTTTAGGCAGCTCTCAGGCAAGTTCCTTGAGCAATTTCGCAGGATTCTCATCTGCACCTGGAGATTTACATACCTTCAAGCGTTTTAGTTCTTGGAAAATCGTCTCTTTGCCAAAAAAAATATCCTCAATATTTAGTGCTCCCTCGATCTTGTCACCATTTGTGACGAAAGCAGGTTCCGTGGTGAAAACTGACCGGAAGAACTAAGCAAAATGTTCTGCTTTGTTTTTACTTTCGGAGATTTCGAGAGAATCATCATTTTGCATAACAGGAATCGGATTCCTGTTACGTGCGCTCTTCCTTATTTAACTATATAGCAACTTCGGATTCTTGACAGCTAGACAAAACAAATCGCTCTCAAACTCCCGTCGTCCTTTGAAAATCATTTTACCTTGTTCCGCTGCATTTTGTACTGTTCAAAAGATTCGTTGCGGCCTGTTATGCAAAACTTCTTCCAAAGCCTTCCTTTTTAGATCTCTTTTTAGGCACTGAGGGCGTTAGATAGCTTGGGCACTGATAGTGGACAATGACTTTGCATTAGATGCAACAACCTCTTCCTAATTGTATGCCTGTCCTCAGTGAAATCCCCGGAGAAAGGTAGACCCCAGTCTATTTTTGATGCCTCTACTCTCATTTGAGAGAAGTCGCCTCGCCGTATATTCGGTCTTGGTTCGTCTACTGTAGGGAGTACTGAATATAGACCATAATCCTACGAAAGTACAGCGTGATCACTTCGACCAAGTAGAGGTAGGTAGCATACCTCGTCTATACTGTCGGGATTCTTGGTGAAGACTAGGTCTAAACAACCTGCCTGTTGCCCTCCACGTGCGCTAGTTGGAACGAGGATGTGTTGTGTGAGAAGAGCCCCAAGTGTTTTTTTAGAAGCTGGTGATCAAAAGCGTTTTTGGAACAATTCGCCCGCAAATCGTTCCAACTTATGCTCGGCGCATTGAAGTCACCCATGAGTAAAACAGCAGGTCGATTACCTATCTCCTTTACGCACTCCAGTATGCACGCATCTGCACCAGTGTCTGTCCGCCGTTGTCGGTAGACGGCCACGACTTCCAGGGGCTGCGACCCTCGTGCCTGAATTACCAACCAAATAGCCTCCATACCATGGGTAATCATTGTAGTCCTCTCGTACACATTTAACTCGCACTTAACACATATAGAAACTCCTTCAG